TTGGAGGCATATCATCCACGTACCCTCGTAGACCGAAAGCGGAAGCGTTAGCACAACGCGGTTGATGTAGTCATACGTCTTCACAATCCGACCGATCAAGCACCGAACGCACGACACCTACGAGTTCTGCACACGTTCATTTCGATGACATCCCTCGAACTCCGATCCAGTCGAGCTTTGAGGGAGAGTTCTGTCAGCACGACAGCGTGGTGACGATGATGATGTTCTACTGACGCAGGGCTTCGCCTAAGCACCACTACGATATGACCGAGGTGGATTATGGTGGAGGGGGGCACCGCACACGTCTAAGAGATCCAAGGGATCAATTGTTGTGTCTCTAGGGGGTGCCTCCCTCCCTGTATATAAAGGAGTAGAGGAGGGGGAGGGGGCCGGCCACCCTTGGCGCGCCCCATGAGGAGTCCTACTCCCACCGAGAGTAGGACTCCCCCCTTTCCATGTTGGAGTAGGAGAGGAGAGGGAAGGAGAAAGAGGGACAAAGGAAAGGGGGGTGGCGCCCCCCTTCCTAGTCCAATTCAGACTTGGGGGGGAGGGGCGTGCGGCTGCCCCTTGGTCGCCTCTCCTCTTCCACCAATTGGGCCCATGAGGCCCAATAACCTTCGGGGGGTTCCGGTAACCCCCCGGTACTCCGGTATATATCCGATAACCCCCGGAACCATTCTGGTGTTCGAATATAGTCGTCCAATATATCAATCTTCATGTCTTGACCATTTCGAGACTCCTCGTCATGTCTGTGATCACATCCGGGACTCCGAACTACCTTCGGTACAACAATACACATAAACTCATAATATAACCGTCATCGAACTTTAAGTGTGCGGACCCTACGGGTTCGAGAACTATGTAGACATGACCGAGACACGTCTCCGGTCAACAACCAATAGCGGAACCTGGATGCTCATATTGGTTCCTACATATTCTACGAAGATCTTTATCGGTCAAACCGCATAACAACATACGTTGTTTCTTTTGTCATCGGTATGTTACTTGCCCGAGATTCGATCGTCGGTATCTCAATACCTAGTTCAATATCGTTACCGGCAAGTCTCTTTACACGTTCCGTAATACATCATCCCGCAACTAACTTATTAGTTGCAATGCTTGCCAGGCTTAAGTGATGTGTATTACCGAGTGGGCCCAGAGATACCTCTCCGAAAATCGGAGTGACAAATCCTAATCTCGAAATACGCCAACCCAACAAGTACCTTTGGAGACACCTATAGATCACCTTTAGAATCACCCAGTTACGTTGTGACGTTTGGTAGCACACAAAGTGTTCCTCCGGTAAACGGGAGTAGCATAATCTCATAGTCACAGGAACATGTATAAGTCATGAAGAAAGCAATAGCAACAAACTAAACGATCAAGTGCTAAGCTAACGGAATGGGTCAAGTCAATCACATCATTCTCCTAATGATGTGATCCCGTTAATCAAATGACAACTCTTTGTCTATGGCTAGGAAACATAACCATCTTTGATTCAACGAGCTAGTCAAGTAGAGGCATACTAGTGACACTCTGTTTGTCTATGTATTCACACATGTATCATGTTTCCGGTTAATACAATTCTAGCATGAATAATAAACATTTATCATGATATAAGGAAATAAATAATAACTTTATTATTGCCTCTAGGGTATATTTCCTTCACATCAACCACAATATACTCCACCGTGTTGCAAATGACACAAATATGTATGAGATGTGGCAGAAGTTGGAGTCTATGTATGAGAGGAGGACATCAATGAACAAGACCTTGGTGATCAAAAGACTTGCAAAGGTTGAGTACTGAGATGGCACGAGTGTGATTGAGCACTTGAATGTCTTTCAATTCCATATAAACCAACTTTCAGCCATGAAGACCGACTTTGAGGATGAGGTGCAAGCATTGTTGCTGCTGAGTTCCATGTCTAATAGTTGGAACACGCTTGTTGTGTCACTTAGAAATTCAGCTCCAGATGGAAAGCTAACTTTGGATATGGTGAAGAACAACATGTTGAATGAAGAAGTCAGAAAGAAGAAAAGGGTGATGGTGCCTCTTCTTGTGATGCATATGTGATTGAAGCCCATGGAAGAATGACAACAGTGGACGCGCTCACACAAGATTTCAGCAAGGCGGAAGTAAATCCAGAGGGAAATCAAAGTCAGGACAGGAAAAAGATATTACTTGCTTTCACTGTGAAAATCTGGGCACATAAAGAACGAGTGCAATAAGTACAAAAGAGAGCTTGCAGAGGGGAAACTTGAAAAGAAAACCGAGCAAAAGGCTAAGAGCAGCTCGGCCGTGACTACAACAGATAAGGACTATATTGTCATTGAAGAAGAAGAATGCTATAGTGTTGTTTGTGATGATGCCATGAGCTGGGTTGTGGACTCAGGTGTGTCCTTCCACGTCACATCACACAAGGAGTATTTCGCATCTTACACTAGCGATGTTCCTGGCCAAGTGAGGGTGGGAAATAGTCGTTCATCAACAACTATTGGCAAGGGCTCTATATGCATTGAAACAAACACAGGTTGCAGATTGGTGCTCGATGATGTGAGGCATGCTCTTGACATAAGACTGAATTTATTGTCAGTGGGCAAGCTTTATTTTTTTTAAAACCCCACCCATATACTCAGTATCGGTCTTTTTTACTCTGCATATTAGATTTGTGTCAAGTCAAACTTTACAAAGTTTGACCAAATTTATGTTCAAAAATACCAACATCTACAATACCAAATATATATATACTATGAAACTACATTTCATAATGAATCTAACAATATTGATTTGGCATTGTGAATGTTGATACTTTTTTCTATAAGTTTGGTCAAAGTAGAGATAGTTTGACTTCGGAGAAAACTTATATGCGAACTAAAAAGGACCAGAGGGAGTATTAATTAATTAACACAAATCTTCGTACAATCATTTGTTACAGCTCTAGCCAGGCAAGGCGGAACACTATTAATAAGAATACCATCAGATCTATTTATAAAACTAATTTTTGCAATCTCATGCACCACCATATCCGCTTTCCTGTTTATCTTGGTGATTTTTAAAATACTCATCATCTTGGAGACACTCAATGCTTCCTTCTTCAAATCAATAAGGTTTGACCTGTTCAGATTATCATTTGCAAAAATCGAGGTCACGAAAGAGCAGTTAGTTTCTAAAATAATGGGCTTGTGAAGAGTGATACCAATGTAAAGCCCTGAGATGGTTGTTCGAAGTTCCGCTTCCTCAGCACTAAGACAAGTACCAATATAATCCCAAGAAGAAATAAGAATTTCTCCAATATGATTTCTGACAATCACCCCAACGCTCACAACGCTAATGGCCTCCACAAAACTTGCATCAACATTAATCTTGAGGAATTCCAAGATGGGAGGGCACAAGAGGCATGAGCATGAGTGAGAACGACATGCATACTCATGCTCACATGGATTACCTCCCTAAGTTGAAAGGTATATCCTTAAAACTCTGTGCATATTGTTTTGCTCGAAAATAACATAGGGTTACATTTTCGTACATTCCCTCCACACTGTGCAGAAAATGTTCTTAATATTGTGCACACCGATGTTTGCTCCAGGACTGAAAAATCCTATGATAGAGCAATATACTTCCCGACTGTCTACTACTCCTAGTTGTGCCCGACTTCAACGCGGGAGAGGCGATGAGGACGGCGCGCCTTCAGCTCGCTTCAATGCTTGTAGTCGTCGCTGGGTGGTCTATGAATCTGAATGTAATTTTAATTATTTCTAGTGTTTGCGCTACTGACATAATTAAAAATGAATAGATCAAAAGTTTCTCAAAATAAATAAATAAACAATAAGGACCAATCGAACTGCAGCGACCATTGCTGCCCGTGCTTACCCCAAGAGTTCAGGAAGTATGGGCTTCTGCTCAGAAAGACTGATTGTTCGTTACCATATCTGGCAGTACAAGATGATAGTGACACAAGATGATACTGTCAAATAGTGCTGCTAATACTCAACATTCTGAAGAATATGAGCATGATGTTCGATGCAAAAAGTTGGCATATCAATATTTGGCAAATACCAAATGTTGGCTAGTAATTGAATGGCTACCAAGTATTGATTTTGCCAAATGTTGGCTTGCCAAATATTGCCAAATGTGCATATTCCAGGCCATGCATATGAACATCTAATAAAGCACCAATCATAGAGATCCAAATGGTACTCTATGTGTATTATGAGGACCGACCAACCCCTTGCATCCCTTGCAATGAGAAAGTTGTCATCTCACAAGAACCTGAACTCAATCTACCGACGGCCGCCGTCCTCCTGGGGCTCGCCCCTGCTGCCGCGAGGAATCCCGCTTCCCGAGGGGTTTAATAATTTGTAAAAAAATGGTTACATGAGTCATCCAACCAAAAAAAATCATCCGGTTAATTCATCCTATCGCCCTCTTTATGGTGAATTCGTCCTAATATGCTGAAAATATAATCCATGTCTCTAGTGAAATTCATGCAGTTGTAAGCAACACGCACACAGGAGGTACTCCCTCCGCTCCGAATTACTTGTCTGATGTATTTTAGTTCTAGATATATCAACTTCTCCGACGAGTAATTTGAACGGAGGGAGTACCTGCCAAATCGAAATCATGGGAACCAACCAATGCAAGGACGATGGACCAACTGAGACGCCTCCATTTCCATGCATACACATACACAAACAGCACGTTTACATGCATACTTATTTCAGATCGCAATCTATTCTCCACTTTAAAGTACAACTGAGTTCACTGGCAGTATATAGACTCTCAAGTCCCGGACGAAATTAACTGTGCCAACCAAAATTAACTGCAACTTTTTATCCGACTCCACCCAACAAACAGAACAGAAACGAATAGCTTCTCCAGACTTTTCAGTTCATTCAGGTCTAGGCAGACCACGCACTCTGTTGCTCTCACCTGCAAAATTGGTCTAGTAAGATTCATACTCGAGGGCGGCGGGTGCACAGGCCTCCTTTTCCTTCCATCAGTTGCTGGTGCTCGCCGGGCGGTAGTACTGGTAGTAGCCCAGCGCCGCAAGCAGGGCGACGAGCACGGTGACGGCGGATATCATCACGGCTGGGGTGGCCCATGACCGGTACGACTGGGCTTTCTTCCTCTTCAGGATCGCCTTTGGCAGCGGGGCCTTGGTCTTGGTGACTACATTCCTGGTCCGTGTGTTCTGCTTCTGTTCTTTGTTTACCACAGAAACTGGAGTGAACTCATCCTCTGCTTGGGTTTCTGCTGCTTCATCAGACTTGGTGTCTGAGTCAGTTGGCTCGTCCGTATCTGCCTCAGTTTTCTTCTTGGTTTTCTTCTCCTCTTTCTGAAAAAGTTTGTCACCATTGTTACACTACAGGGGAGAGAGAGAGAAAGAGAGAGAGAGATACTAATGTGTCTACCTTAAGCTTCTTCTCAGCTTCCTTTTGTGCTCGGGCTGCAGCCTTCGCCGCTTGCTTCTCAGCCTGCTTCTTCTTCCTTTCCAAAGCAAGTCTATTCTTCTCGATTTCCTCCTGTCTCTTGATCTCTTTCAACTTTGCTACATCAACCTCTTTAGGCTTGGGCTTCTCCTTTGGAGGCTCAGCCTCATAGGCATCATCATCAGCATCCACAGCAGCTTTTACCTTAGCTGACTTGGCAGATGCTTTTGCAAGGGGCTCTTCTTTGGGAGCGACGACTTGAGGAGCAGCAGCTTCCTTTGCTTGTTTCAAAGGCGCTTTTGATGGGATAGGCTCCTGTTGCACAGGTGCTGCTGGCTGCTGTGTTTCGATAAATATGGGCTTCTCATCAGGATTCCTCATCCGGCCATCTCGGGTCAGCTGCCGTCCATTGAGGGAAGTGAGGATCCTCTTCTCATAGTCCTCTCTAAAGGTCTTGCTGCTGCACCATTGTGTCATGAACTTCTCAACCTACCAAAGCATATCATAATTAAGTATAGAAATACTTTAAGTAAATGAAAGATGAGGTTACGGGAGGTGGTTGTGGAAGCAAACCTCAGTCTTGTGGAGCTCTTGCAATTCTTCCACCTCATTCCTAGAAGAATGATCCCTGGCTCTGTTCAGAACTATGCGGTTTTGATGGAAGGATGCATTCTGATCAAGATGAAGGCAACATTGTCAATAGATACAGTCTCTCTACATAAATATTAAGAAAAATCAAAAGAATTTGATAAGACAGAGCGGAAAATAACCATTATTTGTGACAGACTTACAATAAAGCATGTTCCAACCACTGCCACTGGCAGTGCCATCTCAGATATTTCATTAAGCGACTAACATAATCCAATGCTACATTGAAGGCAACAAGGACTTTTCCTGATACCAAAATGCACAGGTATGACGCAGAGAATTCGGCTTATCAACAACATGTGGCTGTGAGCCTGTGACCGAGCTTAAAATTTGAAAAGGCAATGGCTGATCATATATCTCCACAATCAAGAGAGGGAGTTCAAGTGCTGTTCAGGCATGCAAAAAGATGATGCCTCATTGCGTACACATGTTATTTAATTAAAACTGTAACACAACTAAAGTACTTAGAAAATGGGGTAGTCACTCTGAACAACATTACAAGAGTAAACATAATGATGAGCATGAGAGAGGTTGAAGGTATGCTGACTTACGGCAAGATCACGCGCTTTTCTCAATTCGGTCAATGACTCGTATGCTTTATCCTTTCTGGCGGTAGCTGCATTTAAATCTTCTTGAAGCAAAGCAATCTCGCCATCAACAACCCTCATCTCATCGTCCAGGACCTTAATCTTAGACCTGACTGCTTGTCGCTCCTTCTTTACTCCATCTATACCATCCCCGATGATCTGAATGGGAAGTGACAATCAAAATGGTATTTAATATTTTATTTATGCAGGAGGTAAATGCACAATAAAAGACAAAGTCACGGCATGAGATACTTACTTTCACCTGATCCTGTATGGCATCTCTTTCAACCACTGTATCTTGCATTTTAGCTCGTTTAGCAGCATTGGAACTGACCTTCGGTCTGGTTTTTTCAAGGGTCTTAATTTCTTTGATCAGCCGCTTCTCCTCATCTAAAGATATGCTCTCATGACTTATGCGGTGATTCAACCTCTTGATCTAGGGAGAATTGAAGGAGAAAAAACAAACAAAAAATCAGAATACTGAATGAGAAGCGGTTGAGTTATCAAAGGGCTGATCATACCTCATGCTCAAGCTCTTCGAGTGAAGAGCACAAGCCTGCACTCTCCGCCCGCATAGCATTATTTTCATCACGGAACTTGCCTAAACGATTTCTGTAAGGTTTCATCTCCTCTAACTTCTCATTAAAAGCTTCATTGTACTGCCTGTTCTCAGCACTCAATGGCCTTAGCTCCGCGAGAACAGCAGCACGCTCAGTCTGCAGAGGAAGTGTGAAGTAAGTTTCATCACTATGCTTAAAGGCTAAAGCAGGCACACTGATCCCCTGGTTTACTTCAACGAGAACACATAGAGGCAGGCAATAGTGCAAAGAGTCACTTTAAATAAGTTTCAGGGCATGAAACATCTAGTCAAATTAGAATTAGGACTAAAAGAGGTAGATCCTACTTCTATGTTGAGTTTTAAGAAGAATACCTTCTTAGCTTTTATAGCATCAATAATCTTGGCCCGAGCTTGGATCTTATTTTGGAAGTCCTTCTCAGCCTGCTCAAGTTTTGCTCTCAGCTTAGGGTCCTCAAATGAGCGGATCTTGACAAAGTAGAAGGTATAAGTTTGCTTAGGTTCAGGCCACTCCTCCGCTGCGTCCTTTGGAGGTGCCATGTCATTTGCCGCAGCTTTGCCATTGTCTGAACCAAAAACAGCTGCTTCCTCCCGCTCCTTTGCAGTTGCTTGGCTTTCCTTGTCTTGAAAAAGGGTCACTTCCTCATCAGCTACTTTAACCTGTGCTGGTGCAGCTTCAGCTCCGGCGACCTCCATTCCCATGTCCCTGCAGATAGGTGTACATAAACTGTTACCAAAACAGGCAACCATGGTTATGATCCAACAGAAAATAGTACAGTTTTACTTGGCTATCTTTTCCCTTCTCGTCCTCAAAACTTAGGAGAAACAGTACGTGTGTGCATTGAGCAGTAACAAAAGCAACTGGCACAAATTCTACAGAACCGTTTAAGGAAAAGCTGTTTAACGGATTCCCCGGGAACTCAATAACAAGAACAAAAAAACTGGATGTACGGGAGAACATTACTTGCTACTCCCTCCGTTCTAAATTAGTCGTCGCAGAAATGGATGTATGTAGAACTAAAATACATCTGGATACATCCATACCTACGACAAGTAATTCGGAACGGAGGGAGTATAATTCATCAAAGTTACTAACTCAAAATCTAAGATGCAGAAGTAGCAGATGCACCACCATAGTGCACAGAGACTATACCCAAGAGAAGGAACAAAGAACATAATAGACAGAGCCCTCATGTACAGAGCATTTTCATCTCACCATGAACTAGACAATCAAATAACCCAAACATCTAGCATATAACTGAACCTAGGCTAGATTGAGAAGCAAATCACAAGGCATGCAGATTATGAAATCATGACCTAATCATTTGTGATTTACGGGGCCACACAGGACCACAACCAAATCTACTCAATGCTTTTTCTGCAAGAAAGAAAAGGGGGACCAATTTGGTTCAGATAGGGAGTCTGCAAATTCAGGGGCAACAGGTCTGGAAGAGGAACTTACTATTTATATGCAAAGTGAGAGGGGGCATTATACAAACAGTACACACAGTAGTTATAGTTGGTTTTATGTTTTGCCATTTCTGTGATAGTCGGAAGTTTCTAGAAGTTGTTTAACGCAATCTTGGCTGGGTTGAGTTACAGTTTTACAAGGCAAGTGCACATGGGTTTCGGTGCATGTCATAACTCAAGGGTCACATTGTGTAGCCAAGGTGGTGTTGTACACTAAACAACTGGTCAAGTAAATGCAGGCCACTGACCACATTGCAGGACAGCAAGATGATGGGATTGCATGGAATTGTATGTTTATGGTAATACTTTATAAAAACATAGTTAATGTGGTACTTGAGTTGCGTTGGTTTCTGGTGGGGAAAACATGCAGTTTAGTGAAACTAAGTTGGCATGTAATTTAAAGCAATCAATCAGCATTATCATTGTCCAATTGGAGAAATGTTTGACTGGGCTAATAAGAAGAGTACACTTCAAAATGATAACAAGCTCTTGTTTCAAAAAATAAATGATAACGAGCTAATTTGAGGTGCCAAAACTAGCGGAATTAGCAGGAAATGGAGACATCAAGGCTAAAGCGATAAAATGAATAATTATAATCAGACAAACTCATGCTTCACTTCCCATCAATAGATCTATTTCTTCCAAAAAAAAGTGAAGCACCTTTCTATCCATGATGATAGGGGAAATACTATAGGTTACCCGGTCTAGGTGTCAAATTAAATGATCCTAGGTTGCCATGGAACGAACTCAAACCACCACACGCACCACCAGCCACCAGGCACTCCAGTTTGCCATCGTCTGCGAGGCTGTGGCATGCGGGTATCAACAGCTGCAAGTCTCATCACTGCAAAAGACGGTACAGATCGCGATAAACGAGTGCGTATGGGCCTTTGTTTGAACGCGTCGCGGGCGCAGAGAATTCCGCATCGGAAGCACCGGCTGAATCCACCGCGGATCCACCACCCGGTCAAACCCGGGCGTGGTTCACGAGGCGCCGCCGATCACAGGCCCGTCTCCTCCGTCCAGCACGCAGTCCAAGTTCAGGCGGCCGGGTGATCCAGATCTACGGAGCCAGCCGCGGCAATTCCCACGCGCGCGTCGTCGCATTGCCTGGCTCCCGGCCCCGAAATCGGGCACCGCGGATCGCAAAAGGAAACCAAACAAAAAAAAACACGTATCAACTTGCACCAGCGCATCAGATCACGCGCGCGGATCGGAGCAGACGCGAACGCGGTTCGAGTAGACCGGCAGACGAGAGCGGGGGCGGGGGCTCACCTGGGAAGGGCGGAGCGGGATCGGACCGGGGCCGCGCTCCGATCTGGCGGCGGGGCAGCGGCGGTGGAGCGGCCAAATCTGGATGGGATTTGCGAGGGGTGGGCAGGGGGGTTTGGGCTGCGTGCCTGGAACTGGAAGCGGGGTTATAAATACGGGAATGGTTTTTTCCTTCTATATCTCGTCTCCTTCCTTCGCCGGTTTTTGTCTGGTTGCTATTGGTGGGAAATTGCCGGTGCGCTTCCCCCTTCGCACCCGGCGTGCTCGGCCGCATGGGGAAAAAATCCCACGGACGGACGGACGGACCCAGCCCAGGGCGGCGCTGCGGTGTGCGTCAGCTGGATGGAACGTGGTGCGAGTGGCGGGTCCAGCTGTGCGGATAATCGGATAGAGGTTGCCGGTTGGGAAGCGTCCGTGTCACGTTTTCGTGCTCTTGCATTTCGTCTCGAACAAAACAATGGTTTAAATTACGCTTGATGTTGATCCAAACTCATGCTAGCATGCAATTCCGTAAGTTAGTGAGTCATAATTTTAGTTTGATTCTTACAGACCGAGCATTAGTGGCACATTAACTCTCATAATCATAGCGTTTCGGCGGCGGATCCCGGATTAGAAGTTACCCGAAATGAACTTTTGAATGAACAAAAAATTGAAGCAACAATACAATCAAGAAAATTAATGCGCAAGAGTACGCATCCACGCAAGACAATCAACATAATAAATTGTTCAAAGTAATTTCATTCTCATGTACTAGGCAAAAGAGATATATAATACGAAAAACTATATAAAATTTCTGAAAAAGGTATTAAGGAAGATAAAGTTATAATTAATGCAATTGAAATAATGCAATGTTGTAAATTATATCAAAGGTATAAGAAGTTTTCTTGATCATACTGATTTCTATACGAGGTTCATAAAAGACTTCTCAAAAAATTCGGGGCCTCTTGCTAATCTTTTGCAAAGAGATGTTCTATTTGTTTTTTACGATGATTGTGTAGAATCCTTTGGAATACTTAAAAAAGATTTAATTTCTGCACTCATTATTCAACCGTTTGATTGGAACATACCCTTTAAAATTATGTGAGATGCTAGTGATTATGCTATTGGCGTTGTTCTAAGTCAAAGAGTCGATAAAAAATTGAATGTTATTCATTATGCTAGTAAGACTCTAGACAATGCTCAAGAAAATTGTGCTACTACTGAGGACGAATTTTTTTAGCAGTTGTGTTTGCATGTGATAAATTCAGACCTTATATTGTTGATTAAGTTACTATTCACAGCGATCATGCTACTATTAAATGTCTTATAAAAAATAAATATGATAAGCCTAGACTGATTATGTGGGTTCTTTTATTACAAGAGTTTGATTTGCATATTGTTCAGAAAAGTGTGACGCCCTTGTTTATAATCATGCACTGATCATACACGCATCATGCACAATCACGAATGGTGACTCGCGTCAATATCACAACACAATTCTTGCATTGTGCGAGGGCGTGAGGAGAATACGGTGTCCTGGGTGGCTTCTTGGGGAGCATTGTGCCTCCACATCGCTTCAACGGAGACGTACTTTCCCTCAAAGGGAAGAAACTTCGTTAACACATTATCGTCTTCATCGGCTCCACTTATAGTTACTTCTTGCCTTTACTTTGAGCAAGCTTTACTTGTGTTGTACCTCTTGCTTGCTTGTGTTGTCACTGTTGCTAGCATCATATAGGTTGCTCACCTAGTTGCATATCCAGAGAACTTATTTGTTGCTAAATCTAATTTGTTAAAAAAAGCTAAAAAATAGTAGTTGCCTATTCACACCCCCTAGTCAACCATATCGATCCTTTCACATAGTCATCAACCAAATCGTATACTAGTCAAAGGATACGTCTCCTCATAACCTTATCAACTAGGGTCCAGTAGAGCAATCATCATACAATATATATCTTACAAATAAGTCACATACTTATTGATACATACCAATGATGATGTTCAAGAACAATACAAAATAATTCATGAATACATAAGGAAACAAACATCATCACATTATTTGCCACTAGGGAATGTTTCCAACTGACCAGAGCCTGCAACTTCCCCACAACAAACATTGACGATAAAGAGCCCAATCAACACGTACATAGTCTTTTTGCACCCACCTTCCTTCCGGCATCGAAGTTTGCCCTTTCTTATGCATGGACTTTCTTGAGGCATATAAGCGATAGTACCGCTCTGCCCCGCGGTAGTACCGCTCCAACGATACTGCCGCAAATCAGTGCTACTAGCACTTCCGCTTTTTTTTAGTGCTCTGTAAAATGGGCGGTAGTTCAGCGCGGTAGTACTGCTCCCGCGGTACTGCGACCCTGACTAGCACCCTACTACAGCAGATCTTCTAGGCTACTAATTGTACAACGGAAGTACCACTACTGGAATCAGGAACTTTGCTGTCAGCCGTTTCTTTGCGTCAGCTAGCTGACGGCAAAGAGGATCTTTGCCATCAGCTTGAAGAAAACTGATGGCAAAGAAGCAGCTCACGACAAAGAAAGTGTTTGCCGTCAGCCCCGTCTTTGCCGTCAGCTAGCTGACGGCATATAACCTAGCGGACGACAAAGAGGCAGTGTGGGTCGATAGCAAGGGGCAGCTAACGGCCACTTTCTTCGTCGTCACCCCGGCCGCCCCGCTCCGCCGCGCCGGGCCGCTTCGCCCGCCCCGCCCTGCCCCGGCCGCCCCGGCCGG